GGCAACTGAACCACACCGGAAGGATAAATGCCTTTGCAGAAATTTTCCTTCCTGTGCGTTAAGCTGTCTTGACTTGGAAGAGCCACCGCTTGCTGTGAAAACTGGCCACGTCGGAGAAGGTCACGCCGGCTGCTCACGGAGCTCCTTGTCCTCCCTCAGGGGACAACCACAGTCATTTCCTTGTGTTCGGTTTTTAGTTTAGAAAACGCTTTTATCTGTGACCCTTCCCCCTTCCCGTACAGTGTTGTGACCGTCGTGATGATGTGTGTGTAAAATGTGACTAATAGAATGTGCGTCTGTACCCAGATGTCTTCAAGGACTCTCTTATATGTGGCAATATGTAATGCAAGTCCCCTTGTGGCAAGGCCTCTGTGACCACACTGTCCTGTCCATTCCCCCGTTTGCCTCTCCAATGTCTGGTTATCGGGACCCAAAGATTGCAGCGAGTCCGCGTACGTACTGCGTCTCTGGTGACATTGCCGCAGGTGAAGCAGTCTGGTGCTGTGTCCTGCGTGCCTCGGTGGTGGCTGGCTCGGAGCCCGCGCGCGCAGCCCGGGTGTTGCCTGCAGCTCACTGTGGAAACGTGGACAGACTCGTGCTCGACGCTGACCTCTTACCTCTCCACACATCACCCTGCCTGACTCTGACGAAATAAATAGTGTCTTTGAGTGCGTGGAGCATGTCTTTAATTTACCTACATGATCACAGCTCTTTGTGCGGAAAATATCCTCACCCGAGGATACTTTCTCCATCGGTTTTTAGAGGGCGTGTGGACGGGGCAGAGAGACAAACATCCGTGTGAGAGACACATCAGATGGTTGCCTCCCGCGGCGCGAGATGGAGCCCGTGACCCTTTGATGCAGCCTGATGGTCTACCGCTGAGCCACACCGGCCAGGGCTATTACAACTCTTTTTAAAGACTCAGAATGCCCTCACCGTACGTCAGGTCCCTGAGCCGTGTGTGAGTTGCGGGATTGCTAATGCGTGTGTTTGCCGGTCTCGACGGGGCCCGTCAGTGAGCAGGCGGGCAGAGCGGGACGTGGGTTAGGTCGGTTACCTGTTACCGCAGTCATGCGGCATGACCGTAGCTATAACACCGCCGTGGGTCCAGTGAGAAGTGCGTCCAAGCTCAAAACCTCCCAAGCCGGGTCTCCCGGCCCAACCCAAGGTTCAAGGGGTGGGATGTACTGCACCTCGGTGGGAGGAGCCGGAGCCCTCCGGCCCTGTGGCCCAGTGTGGCTGCAGGGAGCAGTGTTGGGGCCATCCAGAGGCTCCATCCTGCACCCCAAGGCGTGGCTCTGACGTGTCCTGCCCCCTACGCCAAATTCCTGGAGCCAAGTAGCCTGCGTCTGGAGTGGCTTAGCCTCTCGGAGCCTCCTCTCCTCCTCCGTATTGGAGAAGAGCTGTTGTGAGCTCAGCTGGGCTCATACTGTTCTGTGCTCAGGACCTGGTTGGGGAGGTGTGAGTGTGCGCCCCCGAGTTTTTCTCACTGTAGCCTGGCCCTGGGGGAACCGCCTTCCCTGCTATGGAGCAGGCCTGAGGGAGCCGAAGGCTAGCAATGGAGAGGGAGGGACTCTTTTTTTATAAAAGTTACTCAAAATTAGGTGGAAGAGCGAATATTTAGAATGGGGAAAAGTTCATGCAAATTACATATTTTAAAAAGTGGACAGATTCCTATGCACACATTTTAGTGTTATTTTTGGCTTCTGCCAAGTCACCACACCTGATCATTCCTTCCCTCTATCCCCTCTCCCCATCTCTCCCTCTTTCACTCCCCTCTTTCACCCCTCCCTCCTTCCTTCCCTCTCCTCCCTCCCCTCACCCCTCCCTCCC